TCTTTCTTTCTTTCTTTCTTTCAGCAAAACAAAGGTTTAAATGTATTACTCAGCGTAGTGCAGATTTAGTGAGCCTGATTCCATTGCAACAAGTTACACAATGTAGATCTTTTAATAAAGATTTTTTTGGTTAGTTGGGGGGATTGTGTAAAGTAGGCTTTGCCGGAATTACAGTAATATTTTTGTTTTTTAAGTTTGGTGGATGGCTTTAACATGGACAAGGTGGTCGTTGAGACTAGGCATGCAGTAACCCAAAACTGACATTCACTGGATAACAGCAGTCCCATCTGGTGAACAGCAACTTGATTCCTTTCTCCAAAAAGCGCAAATCAATTATGTATATTTCTGCAGCCACATCTTTTGGCAGCTGCCAGTAGGGGATCGACCTGAGGCTGACATCCAAAATAAGGCTCATATCCAAATAGCACGTATTTGTTCGTAAAGGAGATCTCCCGCGTTTTTGGACAGAGAAGCTTTCCCCCGTCCTCACTGCCATCTCATCAGCCCTGTGGCCCACCTCACAATCTCGCCCCAACACAGCTCACCCAAGGAATTTGTGCTGTTTATTCTTGGTCTAGGAATTAAGGTGTTGCCTTCTGCTAAAGTATACTTCAGAACAATCTTGGCAGACGGACATTGTCTGATAGGAGCCTTCAGCTGAACTGATCTGCAGCAGCGTTTATCCTGAATGCAGACTGACATTCTAGAGTAGACGTTGCAGTGGTGTGGGAAAAGAGAGACATGGCTGATTCGGTGATGCAAATGCCAAGAGAATGTTATTCTTCCATTTTATGGCAAGATATGTGAACAACGGTAAGCTCACTGGAGAGTTGAAAACACCACTTGGTCATATATCACCTTTTTTTCCCAGAGTATCTTATTCATAAAATAGTATTCATAAAACCTGACTTATGATCAGTCAGATGCTGCCAAAGTCACCCATCTAGCCGACTCTGGATTAGAAACCTAAAAATACACTATGGTATGTCATTGCTTTTCAATGACATTTGATATCAATAGTCAGGACTGGACTGGCCATCTGGCATACTGGGCATTTTTGGGTATGTGGTCCTGCAAAGCTGCTCATGAAGGACAACCCCATCAGGCAAAATTCACCATACCCCCCCCCCCTGAAATTTAATCCCAGTTTTAATCCCCGTCTTTAACGATCATGCTCCAGGTAATAAGTCACATTTTCCCACATGACCCCTGAGATGTTAATGAATTTATTAACGGGTTTGATAGAAAATGTCAAAGATTAAGTCATTTGTTTTGCTCTATTTGCTCGTTTCCTGGGTTGTTTAAGTTTTATTTGAAGGAGAACATGTTCCACTCAGCAATAACAGTCTAATCCATCAAATGACAAAAAAAAACAACACGGTCACTGCAACACACCAAGTGAGGCAATGCTTGGATGTCAAGGTCATGACATTTGAATATTAGGCCAGCTTTCCTTTCTCCCATCCCTTTGATGGTGCGAAAACAGGAATGGGGCCCAAACAGCAATGACTAAAATTAAAGAACTCTTAGCGAATAAGGTTGGAGAACAAGACATGGAAGACTGAAGTCATGGCCTATGTTTTGCATGACACTCATTAATAGTCAATCTGAAATGATCTTTTAGAGTCCAGTATTACAAACTATCTGCATGAGAAATACAGGAAAGCGGTTTCCAGTGCATGACTTTAAATCTGGGAATCATCATCCACTGCAAGCCTCTCACAGACACCCAGACGAAGGACATGGCAGAGTCACTACTTTACTTGGGCAGCAGGTTATTAGATGATGCGAGGAAACTGTCTCCATAGCACCTGTGCAAACATTTGAAAATCATGCAGGCTGCTCTCACACAGAACTGAAGCCAGATTCACATCCTCAGCCCGGAGCTGCGATGTAGCAACAGCAACGTTCAAAGTCACCATGCTGTTCAGGAATTAGTCATCTTTTAGAAATTCAGCTTTTACAAGTTATTCAGTGTAGCAGCACATTTTGGCTAACCACAACTATACAATAGCAACACAATTCAGTGTGACACCTCATCAATAACAAATCATGTTTACTACTAATTATGAAAAACATAAAATTATAGTATATTAATGTATTACACCTAATTAGGTAGTTATTTAAAATTAATAGAATACTGGCATTACAATGATTGACTCATTTCCATTGTCTAACTTACAGCATGACTAATACCACAAATTAGTACATGCTTATTATAATTTGGTAAGTGTGATCTCTGACGTTAAAAAAAAGGAAGGAATGCAACTGGCATTTATTTTGATGCAAGCAAAGTGCAAATTAGCTGCTAAAACCGTGTAGCTGATGTTTAACCTGCAACCCCAATGTCCTTCCTTGGAATTACCTCAGGAACTGACTTGCCTGCATTACATTCAAAAATTAGAAGGTACTTCAAATCACCGGTTGATTCATGATGAAACTGAATGCATAATTAAAAATGCATTAATTAGCAGACTCCAAGACAAATACAGGGTGTGGCACAAAACAATTACACCAGCTGAATAACGGATATACTTCAGTAGCTTTGTGGTACATATGAGGTACATGGGGCGATGGTGGTGCTACCGTTCGGCAACCGGAGGGTTGCAGGTTCAAGCCCCGGGTCCTCCTGACCCCATCAAAGTGTCCTTGAGCAAGACACTGAACCCCAAATTGCTCCCGGTGAGCTGGTTGGCGCCTTGCATGGCAGCCTCCGCCACCGGTGTGTGAATGTGAGTGTGGATGGGTGAATGTGAGGCATAACTGTAAAGCGCTTTGGTACTCGTAAGAGTAGTAAAAAGCGCTATATAAATGCAATCCATTTACCATTTACCATTTAC